CTCTCTGGTGGTTTGAATCCATAGGTGACTCCGCTGGAGAAGGATGGGCAGTCTCTTTCTATGCTATTTACAGCTTCAGAAACCCTGCGAAGGGGCAGCTATGAGTCAGTTCCATCTGTGTGTTAATGAGGGAGCTAGAGTGAAGTGCTTTTGACAAGCCCTCTGAGATAATATTGGTTACTCAGTGGTAGATTCCTTATAACCCAGGAGATTGGGGTTCAGTTCCTGGCCAATACACTTCACTCTCAGCCACCATCTGTTAGTCACTGGAGGCTTGCAATTGCTATGATGTGTAAGTTTCTATAGAACTTTTAGACTAAGAGGGAAAGTTTACTTTGAAAATCAGCTCATGAAAACTCAATGGATGACACCCCCCCCCAGTGCTTTTATTTTGTTTTGTCTTATCTTTTGTTTAATAATATTTGGCCTATGGATCTGACATGCAACTGTCCAAGGAGATTGTGCACAACCAGGCAGTGTTTTGTTCTGATGTGATCAGGGAGACTTGGTGGAAGCTAATAAGAAGAGAAGGTAGTACTCTTATCTCCATCTGTATAGATCAAATAAGCAGGCATGCAGACATTAAGTAAACTGCGTAGAAATGCTCCTGCAATGTCAGGTACCTATCGTTTAGAAACTAGGACACGGTTAATATGTATGTATAAATTCATTGCCACCAAGTGCATTTCAACTCACAAGTAATCCTCCCTGGAGTACAGAAGAGAACTGTCCAAAGCGTTGCCACGATGAATCTTTACAGAAGCAAACTACCGCATCTTTATTCTGCACAACAACTGGTGGGTTTCAACCATCGACCTTTTAGACAGCCATGAAGGCTTTTCATTTTGCAAAGGTTATTGTTATAGTGGACTAAACCAACTCCTAGCTGGCCTTCAGCAGATTCTCAGAGGCAATTAATCATTCGCCAGGAGATTTCCCATTCTTCTCCCATGAAGCAGCTGGTTGATCAGAACCGTGTGTTTTTGGGCTGGCTGCACAGTGCTTTACCACTAAGCCATAGGTTTCTAAATTAAGGCTCTTTTTTTTTTGCCACTGAGTTTCATTTGTAATCATTGCCTATAAAGTTTATTGATAGAAATTTCTTATTTATTTCCTCCCCTTTACTCTGAGTCCCTTGAAAGTAGGAACCTTTATCTTGTTTAGTGTAGAATTGGTGGTACATTGTTTAGTGTAGAATTGGTGGTACGTACCATGAAGATC